ATTTATAGTATCAGGCTTTAGCTTCTCTGCTGTGACTCAGGTGTTAAAAGTGGGTCATCTGCCAATCAGAAGGTCAGTGGAGTTTAACTGTGTGAATGTTAAGTAAAGTGCTTGGCTATTGATAAAAAGCACTTTATGAACGTGTGATTGGGTGAATCAGAATCATGGTAGAAAACACGCTTAGTAGAAAGGTGCAACTCAGACTGTTTGCCATCTAAACGTGTTTCTTTCTGCTGTAAATTCGAGCATTTTCACTGGCAGGATATCTGATCTGTGTGGATGGACTTGCTAAGGCAACGCTCAAATGGGTGATTCAGGAAACTGCAGTTTTGTTCTCTGTTGCTAATGAATGATATTGTTTTTATAGATAACCTGGTGAAACTGTATTAAAGGCTAAAAGTTTCAGGTCATTAGGATCATGACTAATGTGAGTGACTCTGCTAAGTTGTCACCAGCTGAACCTGTGCGCTGTGTTTGCGGTGTCAGTGACTTTTACAGCCTTTTTCTCTAATTAGATGAAAAGTAATCTGGCTAGCTGTGCGGCTATCCATAATAGTGTGTGACACTGTAGCACTGCTTTTTTATGTTATTTGCTAATTACTTACTTACTAATTAGCAGGCACCCCCTGAGTGGATGCAACTTGCTCACCAAGCTTGAGAGCATTAGTTCATAACAGAGTACTTCATTCATCCATTCACCCAAATATACTCCCCGCTCTCTTTCTCATGAAGTCGGCAGCCACAATTCCCAACGCAAAGCTTTCATACACAACCTATATTTCCCACAGTATTTTAATTTGTGTAACTGTAGCTCGTACCTAATAGAAATCAAACATGAAGCAGAAATTATTAAATGCGTAGAGGAAAAAAAGTTTGCTTTTCAAAAGTTACTCGAATGAGACACGGTTTTTCCCCAAAACTACTTTAACAGCACTGTCTGAGTATTAGATCATCTAACTGATATATAAACAGAATATATAATCTGTGAAAAAACATTGGTGAGCTTTGCTGTTTTCTTTTAATGACTAATATTAAGATTTACTACAGTTTTCATGAGAAATGTTTCTGGAACAGTGTTATATTTTATGTGGCTGGAGCTTGTGGAAAAGTAGAAAAAGCAGAATCCGTTCTAGTCCTGATTTCTGCTGTTGAATTTGGAAATATCTAACTGAGCTGGATCGTTGGCATCGGACTCATCCTCTCCCCCCGTATCGCTCTGTTAAGTGCCAAATATGCAGTGCCACATGTGGAGGAACTGGGAGGCTGTGCCCCATTTCCTTCAGGAGTAAATCCTCTCAATGATGTGGTTTAATGGCAAGCTGACAAGGCGCAGGGAGAGAACAGACATAAATCACAGGCCCCTCTGAGCTGTGGACGAGGCACACAGCGCGAGGGAGGTGCACAGTGAAGGAGAAGAGCTGAAATATATATGAGAAGAGGAAAAGCAGCAGGAGGAGGAGGGTGACCTGACCCCTGAGGTTATAGAGCAGATGTGTGTGTGTGTGTGTGTGTGTGTGTACACAATTCTGAGATACTTACCGGTATTATCAGGCATAGAAGCTTGGTCACTGTTCCTCTCCTTCTTAAAGACGATGTTGCCAAACTGAAGGACTGAGGACACCACTTTCAACATGGCTACAAATATCAGAATCCAGAGAAAACAAAATTACTTGAGTATGACATCATTTTACTTCATTAACTATATTTAGAAAGTTAACAAAAAAAAGGGCAAGAAGACTCAGATAACCTACAAAACTAGTAATGAATAACACCCAAACAGCAGAAAAATAACTGTTATTCCTAAACAGTGGAATACAGGTTGAACACTTAGCACCGCTACACCCAACACTTCACTGTTATACCAGGCAACTTACTTTCATCAATTTATTGAGCTGTCCAAATTTGAGTTAAATACAGTATCTGTTATAATATACAGCATGAATATTTTTTAACATAAAAATACCTCTTATTTGTCTTTTTTATATAGAATTATTACATTAACACTAACCTTAAAGTCAATTATTATTTGATGTGAAGGAATACATCATCTAAACCAATAAAAGGTTTTTCCATTAGCTAAAAGTACAATACCACAGAAGGAGCCACATGTTTATTATGTTAGCAAACATGAACATTTCCAGTGGTTCTAGGCCAAAATATGTTTTCTTTCCTGATTATTTCTAAGAGAGGGGAAAATCACGTGCAGCTTAATCTGCAGTAACCAGGTTTTAACTGTTTTAATTTGCTGAACCCTCACGTCGCAGAACTGAAGAGAACTGTTGTTTCACTATAACTTAAACCTTGAACCAAATTATCGCTTTACCAATCAAGCAAAGGCAAACTAACTAGTTTGAGAGTTTTATTGCATGTTTATTTTATTGGGTTATTAAAAATATACCCAGAATCTCCTCATGGCCAAAACTCATGATGTGCATGGCCTCCATGGTCTCATGGAAGTTGTCTTTGTCCTGCTGGCCTGGGATTGGGATGTTACCATTGGACAGGAAGCGGTAGTTGTTGAATCCTTCCAAAAGCAGGTCCGCTGTGGTCACAACACAGGAAAACAAAACAAATTTTACCCCCAAAATGATTCACATGGACTTCACACAAAATTAGGCCACGACAGAGCTACTGATGACATTAGGAACAATAAGGCATAATAAGGTGTCTAATTTTAATGCTGTATGTACTGTAAAATAGCATAAACTATGGTTGCGTTACACAAAAATACAATCCAAAAACAAGCCACGGTTTAGAGTTATTGAAACTCGGACTGCTCACATTTGAGGTGCTCCCCGGCTCCAGCCAGCAGCTGATAAAAAACGTGGAAGGTACGCTCATCTTTGGCTTGACGAATAGCTCTGGATTTTTCCAGTAAGTCTGGCACAGAAAGTCAAGAAAACCAGATCTGTTTGGTGGGTCAGTATGCCACATATCAGGCTTTGGGATTATCTGGTGTCCAAGGTTGACAAAAGGAGTCGCTGAGACAAATAAACACACACTAAACTAAATGAATATATATGAAAAAGTTAAACATTTTATACAGTTCTTTTTCTATGGTCCAGACTGAGATCACAGAACAAAAGTATTCTTACTTCCAAAAAAACTGAATTTAAAATTCCCCATTACATGAATACTTCTGTTTTAAAAACAGGATACAGGTTTCAATGTTGGCCCCAACGATGTATCCAGTGACATCAAAGTTGATCCGGATGAATTTCCCCTGTCGAGATTAACACAAGATAACTTTCAGGAAGTGCACAAAACAACACGAGCGGCATTCAATCGATTACATAATGGCTCTTTTATAACACACAGTGAGGCTGTGAGAATCTGCACTGATGGTAGCAGAATAATGTACCAAGACTCAGCGTGAATCCTTCAAAAGCATGAGTAATGCTTAGACTGAGAGGCTGATTATTACATTTTATCCAGTAGAAAGCAATGCAGGCCGTCACTGATATTTCTCTAATAATATATAATTACATTTTAATTATAGGAAAAAAAAACAATTTGAGAAAATAATTTGCTATAGAAACACATGAGACAACTGATCCTTTTTGTCTATAACTGAATAAGAGCTGCCTTAAGTCCCAGCAGGTCCGGTATAACAAAGGTCTCCTAAATGATTAGCAGGCAACAGTATCCAGATAAATTCCAGATAAATTACCGTTGCAAGACATAAACCCATTTGCTAAAACTCATCTAGGTGCCAATGCAGGATCAGTAAAAGTGGTCCTGAGGCGAAAAAAATTCAGTTTAGCTGATCATTTTTCTGTACTTACAAAACGTGATGAGTTGTCATTTTTCACAGTCTTTGCATTCCCAAAAGATTCAAGGATGGGATTGGCTTGTAAAAGCTGCCGTTCCAGTTCACCCTATCATAAAAAAAGGAATCTTTTGTCACCACATCAAGGTCAACACACAAAACTTATAAACTTATGAGAAGTTTTCCACTGACGATGAAAAGTCAAACATAGACATGCAGACAAAGGCAGAGGATGTCCGAAGACTTGGTTTATACAGAAAAACGTCACGTTACCGCCATAGAGTTAAACTGAACAAACAAAAGCCACAGAAAAGATGACAAGTGTCACGGTTGGACAAAAGAAACATGTCTACAGATGATTATTCGTGTGTCTGGTAATTTCTTTGCCTCTTAGACTTTAAAAAGAATAAAAGTAATGTAGTGGTGGGTTAAAAATAAAAGAAAGGAAAGAAAATTAAAGTGAATCAAGTAAAAAACTGTTATCATTTTGAATTAAAAGGTTGTTTAATTGTATTTATTTTGTTGTCCACAGCACTAAATGAGCCCGGTGACACGGCGCCATACAAGTTTCCAAAAGTTTCAAACTGCAGGTGAATTTAGGTCACATTTCATCCCTTTTTATCACAAAGACACAATGTGACCACCACATGAAAACATAAAATCATACGTGTCAGAAAGTCTAAATCACTTTATCCATTTAGTAATTTTATGGCAAAAACAGCTTTTATACCAGTTCTCAGTCAATAAACCAGCTCTAATGTTTCAGATTAAATATTCTTTGATATTGGTTAAAAAGTTCTACTTAAACAGTTTTTCTGGTTTATTACTCTATAAATGCACATTTTTGAAATTCTGGATCAAAGCACCAGAGTAAACATCAGCTGTGATATTTTATAGATTAAACAATGGTTTAAATAATCCATTCTTAATGAAGCTACTTTCAAATACGTCCACCTTTAAAGTCCTTTTATTTTGTCGCATTTAAAACCTTTAATAGTTTAAAACAAACAACAGAGTCTTTGCTGACATGTGGTATGCAGCCTAACCACTTTGTTATGAGGTCACACTCAGGCTTTTGGACTTTTTGCACAGCCTTAGGCAGATAAAAAGTAAGTTTGAACTGCAAATAATTGAACTGAAGATGACTGATGTGTCTGTAGCTTTCGAAAGAGACGTTTTATCTTTTTGCTTTGACGAAAGCCAGAAAGCCATTTTATCAAATCAGGAAGAATGTGTCCACAACACACAGCAGACACGGTTTGCTTCTCTTTTCTTTTTTGTCAAGCTGGACACTTCAGGAAGCTGAATAAATAAATAAGTGACTTATGCAGATGTTTAGACAGGTGTTTCCACTGTGTTTCCATCCAAACCATATTGTTGGCTTTGTCGTGTCTAAAGGAGCCAAAGACAGTTTCTTCTGCAACTTCTCTTCTTGTGGCTCAGAGGAATATTTTCCCATTACGACAGAAATAGCTGCGTGCGCTGAAGGTTTGAGTGTGTCTGAGGCCATTTTCCACTGAACAGAATTGAGGAATCAGCACAGCTCAGAATGTGAGACATGTAATGTGATCTTTGGCCCAAGAGTTAAATGTGCTGCTTTTAATTGAGTTTTTGAGCAGCTGGAATGAAGCAGGGCTGAACTGGATAAACCTGGTCTCTGTCCATCAGCGGCGTTGCAGCCCACAGACGGCACAGGGTTCAAACCGAAAGCCTTTGTTTCTATATAAACACAAGCGTGTGGTGCAACTTGGTAGTTAAAATTGCTCACTGGCAGCCTTTACATCTGTGTGGTCTGCACACACAAACAAAGAGCAGATTACAAACATCAGTGGGGGTCCAGCAGCAGCATTATGAGCTGACCCACATTCTTGTTGTAAAGTGAGCACATGTGATATCTGACAGCCAACGGAGCTGGCTCCTCCACTTTAAATGACCATTTACAGCATAATTTTGATAAAATGAGTCACCCATTATCAGCCAGCACTCGAAAAATAAGAGATCTTTTTTAAAAATAAAAAAAAGTTCACTGTGTGTGCTTTGGCTCAGTACTTCGGAGATTTAGTGGACTCAGAAAGGATCAGTCGCAACTGTCCCAGTAAATCTTCTGGGGCAGAGCCCAGTTGTGGCTATGTTTCCACAGCTCAGCATCTGCTTTGGAGGTCACAGGGCCAGACAAATATTGCAAGTTCCTGTTCTCACCAACAACGAGAACACCGGACATGTGGGGAACGTATTTGGACCAGATTCTTAGGCTGAAAAGAGGTCAGAAGAGGTTCTGTGCTAGCCGCTAGTTCAGTAATAAGACGAGATGACTTGAAAGCCAGTGAACCACTTCAAATGTCCTCACAGTGTCAGCACTGTAAATGTTACATGTGTGTTACAATAAGCAGAAGCTGCTAAATTAGTAAGAACAAAACAGTTGAGCTCATGCAATGCGAAGGTTAAAAGTAACCAAATATAGCAGCTCAGTGAAGGTTTAATGGAAAGAATCTACTGCACAGCCTCAGAGAATATTTAGTTAGTAGTGGGTTTATGTAGCCAGTGGAAACAGAGTGGGAAAAGCACCCCTTTTATTTTGTAAGTGAGGTAAAATAGGTGAGAAACTACATACTACTCACATAAAACAGGGGTCCACTCTGTAGGATATGGGGAAATTCAGTAGTTATATTAATGATATTTATTTAAAAAAATAAAACATTTTATTAATGTTACAGGCACATCTATGCACAACCTACTGCAGTCTATGGATGAAAGCTGCAGCACAGATCATGATAGCTTATCCTGGCCCTCGAGACCCAGAGTACTGCTGATGTTCAAAAGATTTAATTTAAGTAAATTTATGACCATCTGACCCCCTCAGAACCAGCTGATTACTGTATTATGATAGCAAGAAGCCATTCAAAAATGTACCTTTATCCTAGGAGTAGTGTCTGAGTTTTAGCCAAGTATTATATTTAGTATATGATATTTATATGAATCCAGTGAGTCATATTTAAACGATTTTTGTGTTTCCAGCTGCGCGTCATGTACCTGGAGTCGAGTGTTTTAACCAATGCATGAAACTATACATTTTTAGACATAAGTTGTAATGGCCGCCGTTTTCTTTGTGAGTATTTATTACACGGTGTGCTGCGGGAAAAAGCCTGTTCTAACATTTGAGTCTAAGGTTTATTTTTTAGCACCTGGCGGCTCTTTTTTACTTCTCATCCGTAAATAATCTGCTCTTTCACGTGATTCAGTTTATTTTGAAAAGTCTCAACAGGATCTTGAGCTTTATTTTGAAAGGTTTATGTGGTACATAAACAAGCGGACACGCGATGGTGTTACCGTCGTTGTTGCTAACGACAACGCATAAAAACAGGCGCTTGTCCCTTCGTAGTGTGGTTATATTAAATATAAGAGAAAGAGAGAACTTTAAGAAATTAATATAGCCACTACAGTGACCATCAAAACGGTGAAAAAATATTGCCGTAAACAGTTTATTTTGCGACACCACGAAACAAACGATAGCGTAAAATGAAACGATAGACGTTTTTATATCGCCATCTGATATATATCGTTATATCAAACAGCCCTAACCCTAACTATGTTTTTTGTTCTTTTATTAGCCCTGAAAACCTCATCTCCTTTACCCATAAAGTTAGGAGAGCTCAAAAGTGCTGGGATAAGTACACAATACACACACAGTACACAATAACTAAGTAAATCAGCTGATTCTGAGCGGCTCAGATGAGAACATTTTTCCTGGTTAATTTTACATGGAATGACGCAGCCGTGACCTGAACGTCTGGAATTTTGGAACAAAGTCACAAAAGACACGAGGACATGAACAATCTGCAGGCTGTCTGGGTCATGATGACCAGGTCAGAGAATCAAGTAATTTTGGTAAATGTGCTAATCAAAAGCTCTTATGGTGACATCCTTTAAAAATGAGGAAGGTCTCCAGCTCTTTCTTAAAAAAGCAGACACAGACATATGTTTTTTAACTATGTAAACATATGGATACAACTGAAATACAATGTTTAAATATGACAAGATGACATTCAAGGCTTATTATTTGGCTACAACAACAAATAAACACCACATACACGTGATAATGTTTCAACCAGTGTCAATCACAGTAAAACAAAGCACAAAAAAACACATTTAAACAAGTCTGAATAATCATGCCACTTTTAAAGTTTACTTACAACTGCATTTTGTGCCTGACAGAGAGAGACAAAATATCTGCTAAATAAGATATCTTCAGTGTTAACACCAGGCAGCTTACATAAGTGTGAAAAGTAAAAATCGCTGACACCATTTGATGAACTCAGATATTTTATTAGCTCACGCTTTAGATAAGTGAATACTGTCTTAAAGGTTAGTGTGGCATGCATGTGAACATGGAGTGTAAGAAAGCATAAAAACTTGCCTGTAGTTTCACTGGTTTAGGTGATTCTGGCTGTTTGTTACAGATAAAAAAAATGTAAACTGTTAGACTGTGTGCACAAAAGCTTTACAATCACAAGCACCTCAACAACAATCCCACTTTTTAAAAAACATCTTTACCTCAATCACAGCATTTTTCTAGCACTGTATTAGTAGGATAGCAGTGGAATGACCCCTCCCTCCCCCTTGTAGGTTAATTAAAAAAAAAAAAAATAATCAAAATCCACTTTATGAGCAGAATCTAAAAAAGGGGTTTCAAACATGCACCAATGTGTACATGTAAAAATTTTGCACCTTCCAAATGTGATCTGTATAATCTTCTGTGATTAACAAATTACTGATGTAAGGTTTATGCCACAGCTTCTCTAAATTAACACTACTGGTAACAACCAAAATCCTCTGTTTGTTAATCCACCTGTATGTGCAAACTCTCAGAGAGGTCTAGTGTGCCGGCTCAAATTTGGGTGTAAAAATGTGAACTCAGTTTGTCATTTGCCCAATAAAAAAGAGTATAATTTTTGAGATGAGTTTGATACCCCTGATTTAAACTGGTATTACATCAGGTTTTCATTTAATTAAGGACTAAAAAGAAGCATGAGAAGAATTACAAAATTGGTGAGACTTGTTAATACTCACGGAAATGTTGTGATCTTTTCTTCCTTTGTGCGAGGAGGCAACATGTGCCAGGTACTGAATGACCTTTTTTGTGTTTTCTGTCTTACCGGCTCCCGACTCACCTCTGCAAAGCAAAGCAACAAGACGATACAAATAAAAGAGGAACCAGAAAAACTAAAACTTTCACGGTGCGGTCATTTGATGATTATAAAAGACAAAAGGCAACCAAATGTTTGCTGTGTGAGGACTCAGCAAACAAAGCAAGACAGCTGAACTCTGGCTTGCTTTGTCTGTTTCTTCTTTTAAATAACTGTTAGATGTACTTTTACATTGTAGGCTTTCTTATAGATCTTTTGGTACCTAAAATCGGGTCAAGGCCACATGCTTTCTTTCTTTTTGAATAACTTAAAATACATATTTTACTTGCATAGGGTTAGCGTTAGGGGCACTTATCGGGGTCACTGAAGATTTAGACCTCAGAGGGTTAATACTTAGTCTACCATGAACTCTCCATGAACTCACTGAAATTTAAATTGACATGGGAATTGTTAATATTGTTGTATTTAAGGGTCAGTGGATCTGGACAAGGCATTTGACCACATTCCTCAGGGTGTCTGTGTGGCGCGCTTCGGTATCATGTTTCAGGCCCTCAAACCATTCAGTCCCTTCTACAATCATAGCGAGAGCTTGGTTCGCATTACCAGCGATATATCTGACTTGTTGGGTTGGGTGCTGGACTCCGCTAGAGCTGCTACAGATTCTTTTTGTATTTTCATAACATTATCTGCTTTTTGCACATGATTGGAGCAGCAACAGTTTGGGTTAGCAACAGCAGTGATGCCTAAGCCGACCTGAGTGTTAATGTGAAGATGCCATTTTACTGGTTAATCTATGTGCACGGCCTTATCTATACCCAGGAGCTCTAGGTAATCACCAAAAGAATAAGAAATGAGCTTCCTGTCTGGGCTCTCTCTTAGAGATCGGGTGAGGAACTCGGTCAGTTTGGAGGGGATAAGAGGGCTCCACATCAAAAGGAGCCATTTGAGGTGGTTCAAGTATTTGATTAAGATGCCTTCTAGCTGCCTCCTAGGTGAGGTGTGTCAGGCATGTCTAACTGGGAGGAGAGACACACCAGAGGAACTGGAGGAGGTGGCTGGGGGAGGGAGGACTGGGCATCTCTCCTGCTCTCACAATCCACATAAGAAGCAGAAAACAGATGATTGCTCAATACTTTTATAATTTATGCTAACAGTTTGAAATTTTGGTTTCTATTCTTTTTTTTTATTGTTTTAATTAGTTTTGTCTGGATACTGTGTGTTTGTAAAACTTTTGATAAGCGCTACAAAAATAAAAATTGTGCACTTTAGACCGTTTTGTGCACAGCTGAGTGTCCGTGGTTAATAGGTTAGACAAGAACTCTTTTTCACTACAGCAGCACAAATATAATCTCAGACTAAACTAAACACTGCTACATAAGTACTCCTGTTTATCTTTAAACTATATTTTTAAGCATCAGTCCACTTCAGCAGCTGTGGTTGCTGGCAGGCCTTTCACTGCTCTATCACACAGCTACCATGGAACGAGGGGGAAAAAAAGAAAGAAAAAAAGCTGCTGCAAAAACTTTGGGGAGCAGTTTAGATTTAGAGCATACCTGAGGTTTTACAGTAAGTGCAAATCTGCAAAAACCAAGTATGCACAAAACTATAGTTTTCCTTTCAGACTTGGCGAGCGTGATGTGGCTGGGAGAGAGCAGTGGGTAAGTCTTGTCAGTCTTGTTAGGTACTGTGAACAGACAGTAATCGTGGGGAGATTGCGTCAGTGTGCTTGTTGTTGGCCTTGGACCGCTGGGTGTGATATTTCTCAACTCCTCCACAATAAAAACCCCCCACTGCTGACCTAACCGTAGCTTATGAGATTTTCATGTTTTTTATTATGCATAGTGTCAAAACCTTTACCACTGTCCACAATTTGCGGCACATTTTAATGTCTGTCTCCAAGCAAACTCCAAAAAATAAAAATCATTGTTGAATTGCACAAATATACAAAATGCCTTTCATTAAAACTTGAGGTAGATCAACTGTCTTTGACTTCATTGAGGGGAGTCAGTTAGATGGATAATTATTTTCAGGAATGTGCTGATATAACACCGACTATATCGTTGTTTCAGGTTATTCTTTGGCAGCAGACGGTTGCCCTCCATAATCCCAGTACAGCCAGATGTTTCCCTCTGTTAAGAGGAAGCTTTTTCTCCACACTGTTGCCCGTTTATAGTCTGTGGATCACACAGTTATTCCCTGCATTACTTTCGATTCTTTATCTTATAAAGTAAAGAGCAAAAGTAAAATTATTGTACATAAAAAATGAACTGATTGAGAGGGTGGCAACTTCAGACTTGGCTTATCTTTTATAGAATTGCTCTCTTCACTCATGCAAAATGTAGAAAATAATAAGTTGTGCAGCAGCTGAATGAACAATTATGACACCAAACCATGCGAGGTGTGTAATTTGTTGATACTGTATTGTAATTAAGGTTGCAGAGAGCCTTAGTAAATTACAGTTCTTTTAGTTCAGTTCAGTTTTGTAAACCCTTGTTGCATGGCTTATATCTTGATACCTTCTCTGGCATTTTCTTTGGCTTCATTCCTGTCATCAGCAGGCACTTGTCAGTGAAATGACGCCAGAGGATTGTGAAGCAGAAATGTCAGGCATTTCTCAGACCCACGCTTCTTTTAAAGCAAGCTTCTCAGTGACACTGAGCAGGCTATTGCTTCTTGTGAGAAACGTAAAAAGTGTCCAGACCCTGAAGCAACTCACTCACTTTTACTGCCCTTTTCAACTCGTGTAATTGCAAGTAAATGCATTATTGTCCGTTTCATTTAATTCAGGCAAAAGAAGCAACAGAGAAATACACTGCAAGACAGTTTCCATGTCTCCTAATGGAAAGGAGACATTAATTTGGTCCAGGTGGTGAGGTCTGCCTTGCAGAAGAATGTGTCGTGCCGGTGTACGTCAGATGATTTTAAAAACAGTAGCTCTGTTATGTTGAAATAAGACCAGCCAAATGGTCTTAAATGGTCTGTTTACTCACGTGCAGAGAATGGACTGGTCCTCTCGATCTGTGGAGACAAAGGGGGAAAAAGGGGGACATGACACATAAATGAATGCTAAGTAAAATATTATGCAATCATTTATTATTGCATAGTATTTTTTATTATTATCATTAAATATACAATATATTTTACTCTGAGACAGACATGAGTTTCCAAAATTCAAAGTCCTTACAAACTGTCTGTTGACCACATTTAAACAATAAAAATAGGTGAATGTGAAATTTTAGGGAGTTGGAAGCAGGTGAACCCAACAGCAAACTTGTAACTGTGTTATTTTATAAAACTGTGCCAGCTGAAAATCATAAAAATCACAAGTCTAACACAAGAGCTGAAACTGACATTTTTTCCGATGTCAACCCGGCAACCCTCACTGAGTTTAAATGTCTCCTTTTCAACTGTGTCCCAGTAACCACAGGTAATAAAGACGTTCAGACAAACCATATTATAATGAAATAGTGTATATGGTTAGAAAAACTACTTGTCATATTTGTAATCAAATCTCAATTAAGGTGCTATTTATGAGCAAAGTGACCACAAAAAGCAGGGCCTGTTGGGACTGACTGCATAAAGCCCCATTACACAAAGTCAGACCGATGCAGCTCATTTCTAATCTACACCAATAAGATCACTGACATTTTGCAGATGAATGTGCTTCGTGGCTAAACTTGCAGCTGGATTTGAATCACATTAAGAAAACCTGAAAAGTCCAAACCTAAGCCTCAATTAATGTGCTTGCATTCATTTGCATGGTGCTGAGGTCAGTCTGCACTTTGCGGTCGTGTGGCAGTAAAATAAAATGACACCTTCGGGGTTGTGCGAGTTTATAGCGTCTCATGAGTGAGACAGCTTCAGGCAATAGAGGAAAAATTAATGATGATAATGATGTCATGGGAAAATACTACTTTGTCCTCCCATCAGTGCCTCCTTAGGGAAACAGTCTCCTCTCCGGTTACACTGTTGTCTGATTAGCTTAAAGTCCAAGGCTTAGATTTGAGTCACTAGACTCAGACATGGTGTGTTGTTTCTGCATAACTTAAACTAAAACCCAGAAAATCTGCGTCACTGACATCACAATCACCAAAGGTTGTTATGCAAAAATGAAGAAAATAGCAGGATAAAGATTATTTATTAACCTTGGCAAACAGATGTATTATATTGAAACAAATTTAATTTGACAAACACTATCTCTAATTTTAATTTACTATTAAAAATTTGATTTCGAGATTCTGGTTTAGTTCCCTGAGGCAAGCAGATGATCCGTTACACATCATAACTCTAACATAACTATCCAGTCATTTGGGCTTTCGGAGCACTCTTTGAATATTTTTGCTTGGAATGCTTATCCCAACAAAATAAGACTAATCCAAGTTATGTAACAAGAGAATAATCCAGAAGTTTTAATGATGTAATCACAACATGGTACGAAAACTATAAGGCTACAAACTACATCTCACCTTATTAAACATGCGCAGAAAAAACATTATCAGCTGATTGGTTTGAAAGTTTGAAGAAGACTGTTCTATCTTCTTTCATTCTCACTAAGGTACGTTCTTGTATCTCTTGATAAGCAATAACTTGTTCATTAAAGGGTCCAATCTCTGAGGTAGTTAATTCTGTGACTGAAGTGCAAAGTCTGCACGTTTGTTAAATGAAGGACTTAAGACTGACTGATGATTGGCAGCTGATCCATTAGGAGATTGAGCTGGGTGAAGAAAGCCATCAATAACTCAGGGAAAGACTAATCTTTTTTTTAGTTAAACCACAGCTAACTGAATGAGCTGACCCTGGCTTATCCAAAGAAAGGTTTTCTCTGAAATAATTCAGCAGCATACTGCTCTAAGCACATTGCAGGAAAACACAATATTAAAGTATAATTTCTCGTACATGAATACACTGAATACTAAAACCAATGTTTGGAAAAATCCAACACTGCAAAAGAGAAATGTGACGTCAATCATAACCTTTTGTTCTTTTTGTAGCACTTTCATAAGGACAGGAGTTGCTGCTAAGAGAAACAATTTACACCCCTGAAAAAGCAAAAGACAAATTATAAGTTTTTTCCTTTGTCCTTCTTTTCCAACTGTTGAAGAAATTTGACGTGCCATCTGGAAATCTTTATGCATACTTTAGAGATGCCTGTGGATATCGACCTAGTCACAGACAAGTGTCTACAGCTTGTCCATTGTGTACATAGGCCAGCAAGACCGCTCACGCAAGTAGAAATTGTGCAATCAACCAAAACCAGACCCTACCACAAAGAACATCAGCAGTAATGACTTTAAAATGGAAACTACATGCACTAAGAATAATATACACCATAGATCCCACTCTCTAAATTTGTTATTTTAGCAACACTGTCTGTGAAACTAGATGAAAACACTGATTCATGTTACTTTTTGACATTTTTTAAATGTACTATCCATGCTCCAACAAAGCATTTAGAAATTTTAAAGATAGACTGTTCACTTTAATTCTTTGCCTCTTAATGACTTTTAGTGGACATCCGTGTACAGGACAGCAGTCATATGTTACAGTCCTCCCACCCACACTCCCCTTGTGAGTGGAAACAAATGCTTTGTGATAGCAAAAGACCGAGATGTGTTGCTCTCATATATACACAAGGGCAACAACAATGAGCACATTTTTTACTTAACAGTCCACTATGATGGCCTAATTTATTAACACATGGTTCATATGATGGCTCTCTGCTCTTTATTGCATATTTTGTACATAACTTTCGAGAATATTAACATAAATAAATGATGGTGGTAGCCAGTGTTAACCCTAGTCTCCTAGTAGATACATCTATGGTATCAATTTCAAAATCCTACGTTGCCTTGTTCTCAAGTTATCGCATTTACAAGATTTTCAGAAAAATATTATTATTATTTTGAAACTCCTACATCATTTTGTTCAAGGTTTGCCATTCAAAAAATGTTCAGAAAACTCGACGTCTGACCTTAAAGTCAAAGCCACCGACACTCAAACTTGTAAAAGATTTTTAGTAGATGCACCTTTGGTATCAATTTTAAACTCGCTTCGTTCTTGACCTATCGTATTCACAAACTGGGTGTCCACGCTGCTTGCCCGCTTGGTGAGCTGACGATAACACCTCATCAGCCTTTCAGGGCTTTGGAGTTAAATATAAAAAAAATATATACTTTTCACATAAAATAGTGAAAAGTATACCCAAATCCAGGGACACAATTATGGAACTGTAGATGCTTTTCTTTGGCTTAAGACTTCTAGAACTCAAATTTACACTATCCATGAAAGTTATTATCCCGACTCATTTTGTCCATGTTGTGTCCTGGGCTGGACTGTTGTGCCAGAGGTGAAGGTTTCCTAAAGTGCTGACTGCGTTCCTTTGGGATACAATGGTGGAAGGTTATCTGACTGAGGACACAGCTGGATGGCTCATCAAGGACAACCTGGGTTTCCTGGCTTTGACCAGAAACTTCCTGCAGTAATAGACTCCAACAAGGATAACAGGCCATGTGCACATGGACTAAAGCTACACTGATCCTTTTGGATCTCTCATGTGTTCATGTTAACTGCAATGATACATGGATCAACACATGCAAACACAATCCCTCGTTAGCGCCTACCTTTATCACACATCTCACTTTACATTCACATCCCTATCTGACCTAGACACAAAGAGAACACCCCCAGAAAGCAGGGGTGTCTCCTTTATCAGACTGGCTGCAGACACAGAGGAAAGATATGATCCACCGTGAGGCTGCCTGCTTATATTCATTGAGTTAACAGCTGGGCTGTGATCTGCAAACCTTCTCAGACTGTGAACGGCTGATTACTGCCAGAGACATATGGAGAGCTGAAATACATCAAAAATGTAAGCAATCTAATTTTTTAAATATAACAGTGACATGGCGGTTAGCACTGTTGCCTTACAGCAAGAAGGCTTTGGGTTCAAATCCATCATCTGGCAGCGGATTTTCATTGTGGAATTCGCAGCTGCCTGGGTTCTCTCCAGGTACTCTGGCTTCTTCCCACAGTCCAAAGAACATACAATTAGTGGGGTTAGGTTAATCAGAGGTGTAAATGGTGGTTTGTCTTTTTGTTTTAGCCCGACAACATACTACTGACCTGTCCATTGTGTTCCTTGCTTCTTGCCCTATAGCAGCTAGTGGAGGAACCTAAGTATCTCTGGATCCTGTTTACAAGTGAAGGAAGAGTGGAGCATGAGGCTGACAGATGGATTTGTGCTGCATCTGCAGTCATGCAGACATTGTATCAGCATGTTGTGGTAAAAAAGAGTGTTGAGCATGAAAGCTCAATTTACTAGTCGAACCCTACTCTCACTTGTCCTGAGTAGTGACCAAACAATAAGACGATGGATACATATAGAAGAAATTAGCTTCTTCCAAAGGGTGTCTAGGCTCTCCCTTGGTGACAGAATAAGTTCAATGGTAAATGGTAAATGGACTGGTTCTTATATAGCGCTTTTCTACTCTTTCTGAGCACTCAAAGCACTGTACACAACTTGTACATTCACCCATTTGCACAAGCACATTTTTTCTAAGTGCTTTCTAAGTAACATTCACACACACATTCATACTCCGATGGATGCATCGGAGAGCAATTTGGGGTTAGTATCTTGCCCAAGGATATTTGGCATGCAGACTGGGGAAGCCAGGGATCGAACCACCAACCTTCCGATCAGTAGATGACCTGCTCTACCACCTGAGCTACAGCCACCCCTCAATCATCTAGTTGCTACTTTTCCACATCAAAAGGCTCCACAGGACTTGTGTCTGTTCAGATGAGACCTCCCCTACCAGCGGCTGTTATTTCGGTGACATTACTTATTGGTCATAAGAACTGTTTTGTGGGTTTCGCATGATTACTGATGCCCTTGCCAGCTTCACATGACTCCATGCTGATGAAAGGCAGTGGAGATTTCCCACAGGACATATAATATTATTAGCTTAAGTAAAGGAGTTTGAAAATAATTCTGAATGCTTGATTTAGATATTCTGAAG